CAAGGCCCACATATTTCAGGTTCCTCCTTGAGTTCATGATAAAAACAAAAAACAAAACAAAACAAAAACCCAACCAGACCCCAAACTCAGATCCTGACTTTGGGGGGGAAGGTTAACCACTGGAGGAATGACTGGACCACACAGTTGATTACTGCTTTCCATAGGGGCATTAGGTGTGACATGGCAGACACTTCTAGGTCTCTGTACAACATCCATTCCTTCCTTCCTCCTTTAGAAAGAAGTCAGATGAATCATGGGTGGTAGAATTAAGCACAGTCTTTCCATTGGGCCTTACCATTGACTGGTCTACAGATGTGACCTGTGATGTCAGAGAAAGTGCCAGGAGGTTACTGGGAAAGAGATTCCTCCCAGGAAATAAGAGAGGGTGCACGTGCACAAAGAAACACATACATGTGGGCACATAGGCATACATGTACACACACAGGATTCCTACCACCAGGCCCAGTTGAGTGAGGCCATGGAAGAGCTGTAGCCTCTGCCCAGAGACTACGTGACAATAGAGGGCCATAGCAGGGAGAAGAGGCCACACCGCTCACACCATTATTTAGCTGCTGACCTAGTTACTTAGCTCTGATCCTTTACATGAGTAAATAAGTGTCCTTCTAGCTGAAGCCACTTTATGTTGGGTTTTCTGCTACTTGAAATGAACTGTATGAAACAAATTGACTCTCATATTAAGGAAGGGTGGGAGACAGTAGGTAGAGGTTAAGGCCTTTTCTTTCTGAGGAGGTCTTACGTCTGCTGAGAAGACAGGCCTTGAAATTCCTGACCTGGAAATTTCCATGCTGGGATGAGGATATGGTCAGTGCTTGCTGAGTATTCATGAGGCCCTTGCTAGGTTCCATCCACACGCCGCCACCCATAAACAAAACAGTTCATAATGAAATCAGCAGAGCGATCCTATGTATGTTCAGCTGCCTGCTGCTTCCCCAACTAATTAAAGGCATTGATTCCTGCGCATGTCTGTAGTGCATCTGCTGCTCACTGGGATGGGGGGACGTGAGGCGGAGTTCCTTTGCTCCTGGAAAGACACTGTATGAAGGGGACCAGAGCAGAGCAGGATAACACAGGCTGTGATGAGATACAGCACATCTAGTACAACACTGTCCTTCTCGCCCATAGGTCAGAATGGTCTTTCATTCGTCTTGACAGAATGAAAGTCACAGTAACGCGTCCCTACAAATATGGCCTTTCATATGGTGCTGCTGGCTTAGAACCAAATGATGACTATTGTCAGTTTTCATAAATCACCTGCTCCTTCTACAATGACAACGCAGGACAACAATGCCTTTGAGTCGTCAGTATCGTCTCTGTGTCCCAACTTCCCTCTCTGGCAAAGCGGTCAAGTTTGGATTTCATCTTTGGTGCTTGTCTCATCTGGGGTTGAGAGGTAAGAGCCCTCTTACCTCTCAGCCTTCCTAAAAAGTCGACTCTCGCCTTTTCATCACTAGTAACCAGGATTTGACTGCAGCTGCGGCATGCACTGCTGGTACGCCGCCTCCCAACAAACCCACGACACTAGCATAGCAATCCTGTTTGCTCCAATTGCCTACTCTTTTCCAACACCAGAAGGCATTCACACTTTAAGTGCTGCTGTTACTGATAGTTAAGCCCCTCCCCTTTGATAAAAGATCCTGGAATCAAAGGGCAAGCAGAGATGTAGGATGGGATAGGGTGTGGGTGCAGGAGGCCGACTTGCTTGCCTGTGACATTATGGGTGAGAAGCAGTGGCTGGTCCCTCTTCTGTCTTGCGGAGCCTATATTCTGGTGTCAAAGAACTCTATTCTTTTCCTGTGGGATTTTCAAATGATCCTCCTGCACTTCCCTCTTGACTCTGAGCTGGACCCCTTTATTCACCCCTCCCCAAGCCCACCCCACCTTCTTTCTCTGCTAAGTACCCCTAGAGACTTTTACACATTTTTATTTGGAGCCCAAGTGATGTGCTTGGTACATATTTTAAATGTTTGAAATTATAGCCCTAAACACCCTTCATCTATCCAGATGTTTTGGAATATACCCTTTGTTATTTCAGGATCTAAGTTTACAGAGACTTTGACAAAGAGCTTTCTCCCTGGTCCTCTTCATCAGGACCCATTTCTATGCAACACAAATACCCATCCATTTAAATATTTTACAGATATCACACACTTGAACTCAAAGGAGAGAAGAGGTATCACCTTGGTAATATGTTACTGCGTCTTTCATTTTCCGGCAGTAGTAGTCACACTGGCCATGTATGTAATGGCATGTAACGAACAAGCATCAGAGCTTTTCAGAGACAGGGTTATGAGTTCACTTCAGCAGATAATTTCAAATCAAGCATTCATGTGAGCAGATGATAGTCCTTGTCTAGTGCTGGGTGACAGCCCATACCAGGCTCACAGCAGTGCCACTGGCCAGCAGATCACCTTCCAACAGGCCAGAGACACTCCTGCCCGTTGGTTCTCAGTGGTCCTTAGACTCAGGTCCTGAGCATCCCAAGCTCGACTCGCATCCTTCTGGCCCAGCTTTTCCGTAGGCTCTGGAAAGGCTTCCAGTGAGAGCCCATGAGTAGATGGGCTCACTCTCTCCACTCAATACCAGACCCAAACAAGTTATCTGAATGGCTGCCAAAAATAAGACAGGGTCATAAAAAGCACTGCCCAAAGCCACTTCTCACTTTACTTTGAGTACCTTGGTCATTCTCTTTCTAAATTCAAGTAGGAGTAACCGATGAAGATTTTTAGAAAATCTGGAAATAGAGAATGCAAAATGATACAAAAGTCAGGCTGATTTTTTTGTGGGCCTTACTTAAAAATAACCCTTTGAGGGAAACCAAATGCTTTCGTCATTGAGTGCAGGTGGGTGCGAAAAGCAAAGCGTTAATCGTCACAGATAACTGGCACTGCTATGGTGCACTGGCACAGAAATGCTTCCCTCCTGCTGCTGCCCCACAGGAGGACAGTCAGTATTCAAAGCATCCACAAAACAACATGTTACTTAAGTCCTGAGACAGGAGGGGCAGACCATCGTGCCTTTATATATTCCACCGTTTTTATTTTTGCCTGATATTTTAAGAGCCTTCAAAAGTTGATATTCAACACTGTTGACCTCCAAAGTCAGGGGAACAAGGGCAGTCATGCGAGGTCACCTCAAGCATGGTAAAGACTGTGTCAATGTTTCTGCAGTGCAATATGTACAGTGGCCCCGACAGTAGACCCTTAATGCCCTGCATTGTTATTGAAGCTAAACAGTGTCCTGTGGCACTTCCTGGCCAGGTGACTTCCATTTATGATCAGGTTTTGTGCTTTCTCCCAAATAGAAGGCAAAATGTAAAGCTGGTTCACTTTCCATAGTAGCAGTGTTCTGTGAGGTACCCGGGGCAGCCAGAAAAGAGAAGGGTGAGTGGAAAAGCCATTCCTACTAGTACAAGCAAAAGGCAGTTTTGATATGATCCAGTGTCTAGAAGTTCTTGGAAGCATCCACCACAACTATGTGCAAAAGCATTTAGCAAGGGGAATGCTTTTCTGAAATCAGGGACACTAAGTAAACAAGAACAGGCAGACCATTACTGCAGAGTTCCCGTGGGGAGGTATTTCTAGTGTCAACTTGGCAACCAGCTTTGTTTTCTTGGTTTCTACTGAAGCCAAGCCCTGATGCTAATCATCATTTCTTCTAGGTGTACCATCCCAGGCTGTAGAAACATTTACAAAACCCCTGCCTAGTCTGTTTGTCCCTGACTTCCCCCAAATTTCCCCTAGGTGCCCAGAGTTCTTATAAAACCATGCAGCAACACTGGAGATAGCAATCTTCCTCTTTGCCACAGGCTCAGCAAGGTGGCTCGCACACTTTTTCACAACCGCCGTGGGTCAGAATGATCCACCAGAATATAGCATCATAGCATGAAGAGCAGCAGCAGGATAAGCAGTCTGCAGGGTTCAGGGGTAGAAAGCATTGGTGGTTTGGGGTTCCACACTTATGGGGTGAGGGAGCCTTCCATATTAGCTCACAGCAGCACCCAGGACATGTGCAAAAGTTACGGATTAAATAACTGTGATAGGCACCTTTGTTATAATATACTTACACATGTGTTTAGTATGTATATCCACACACATTTTTGTATGTGTGTGTATGTGCATGAGGACCAGAGGTCACAGCCTTGGATGTCATTCCTTAGGTGCCATCTATCTTGTTTGAGACAGGTCTCTTACTTGGTCTAACTGGACCTCAGTGACTAGGCTGGACTGTTTTGTCCCTGAGCCCCAGGTATCCACCTGTCTCTGTCTCCCCAGTGCTGGGATTATGAGAACATGCCACCGCCCCTGTCATTTTTGACACGGATTCTGAGAATCAAGCTCAGGTCCTCCTCATACACAGCAAGCACTTCATCTCCCCAGCGCCTGCCTCCTACACTCTGTTGTTGTTTTTCAAGACGGCTCTGGCTGTCCTGGAACTCACTCTGTAGACCAGGCTGAACTTAAGAGAGTCACCTGCCTCTGCCTCCCAAGTGCTGGGATTAAAGGCGCGCACCAAAAATGATTTATTTTATGTGAGTATTTTGCCTTCATGTACGCATGTGCACCATTTATGTACGTGGTGCCTGCAGAGGTGAGAAGAAGGTGTTAGACTCCCTGAAAGTCAAGACATGGATGGTTGTGAGCCACCACGTGGGTGCTGGGAACTGAATCCGGGTCCTCCAGAAGAGCAGCAAGTGCTCCTAACTGCTGAGTCATCGCTCTACCCCAAACATACATACTCTTAAAAGAAACTACTTGTTGTTAATATAGCACTATCACGTGTCTGCTATAGGACAGGAAGGAAGACATGACTTGGAGTCTATACTTGCATGGGTTCTGGGCGAGTACTCAGAGGCCACGGCTGGCTCAAGTTCTTCCCAGAAACAGCAACAGCAGCAATGCTCAGTCCTCTGCAGCTTAGGCACTGTCATCAGGGCCGCGGCAAAGCTACAGAATGGCTGCCATGTGGGGCCTTTTTAGGAAGAAAGAGTATTACAAGACTCAGTGAAATTGACTTATATTTTTCTTTGAAGGTCCTATGCTATGTGAAGACACTCCCGAACTCGATCAGCAAGCAAAGCTTCCCAGGTAAATTTAGAGCGTTGTTACTATGACACACATTTGTGCCAAGTATCATTATTCTGAGCTACCCAGTGATCAGAAACAACGAGGGCGATGGCCATAACTAACCAAGGGCTCATCTCAGCAGGCGCGTGAACGGGCCATCCTTTCTTCACCGTTCTGAAGTCTCTGAGAAGAGCGAGTCTGTCCACTTCCCACGTATCCCTCAAACGGCCTCTTTTCCTAAGAAGACCGTCCTTCTGCTCGCTCTGCCTCCTCCTTCACCACATGTGCCTGGCTCCTCCCGTGCCACCTCAGGGTTACTGCAACAGCACTGGTCTTGGGAGGTTCTGGGCTTCAGGCAGCACAGCCGTGGGAAATGATAGTGGGCAGGTCCTGGGCCAAGGGTTCCACAGCATGGTTCATAATGAAGGGATGGAACACTTGGTCCAGGGTTATGAGGCTGAATGGGTAGCAAACCTTCCCTCCTTTGTACCCGTTCAGGGTCTGTCCTGTCCTGAAATTCTGTTTAAAAACATTTGATTTTATTTTATAGATATGGGTGTTTACCCGCACACATGAAAGTACATCATGTGTACAAACTATGCAGTTCCTTTTTTTTGTTTGTTTCTTTGCTCTTTTCTTCTTCTTCAATACAGGGTTTCTCTTTGTAACTCTGACTGTCCTGGAACTCTCTCTGTAGACCAGCCTGGCCTTGAACTCAGAGATCCACCTGTCTCTGCCTCCTGAGTGCCGGGATTAGAGGTGTGTGCCACCACTGCCGAGCAGGTCCTTAATTCTTTGTGACACTTAGGGATATCATCATGTCTCTCTCCTAAGGACATGATGGTTCCACAGGAACAAATGCTACACTGCATCAGGGCTGTCCTATGAAACAACAGAAACACATTCTACCCGCTTCTGTCTTATCTTGACATGATTTAAGCCATTTTCCTGGGAGAGACATAGAGAATGAGGGCAGGCATTTGCAAGCACAGACGTTAGACGAGGAAAGTGACCGAGAAAGAAGTCCTCATAGTGGTGTAAGGAGGGCTCACAGCAGAGAGCAAAGGGCTAAAGGCGGAGGGAGCCTCAGCTTCAGCCTCTCCTTGCTGTGTGACACTGGAAGTCGACTTCTTTACCTTTCTGGGCCTCGCTGTTGTCATTTTCCAAATAGAAACTCGAACTGTGTCCTTTCCAGCCTCATACTCTTCCCCCACCTACAACTACTTCAGTTCTAGTTCACAGGTCACGGGGCCAATTTCAATAAAACAAAGGTGAGTTTACAGAGCTGGAGGGACTGTCACTTAAACATGCAGCTCTCCTCCAGACTGACTCACTTACAGTTTCTCCCAGTGAGTGGCAGCTTGATGTCCTGGCAAAGAGAGTTCACGAGGAGTTAGAAAGCCGTCCTTTCTGGCACTAACTGGAGAATGGGTTTTGGTCAAAGTTCTTTATGTTGTCTCAGTTCCCTTGGAGTGGAAAGTGAGGAGGCCAGCATGTAAGTCAGTGCAGCTCCGCTGTGCGAGCTTGCTTCCCGTGATCGAGCAGTGTGAACCGTGCACAGGGGTCTGCCCTCGACTTTAGTACGGTTACCAGGGGTCACACCGTGGGAGAGGGAGGTAAAGGCTGCATGATGACTTCCATGAATGAGTCAGGAGAGGGTGCTGGAAAATGACCATCTGTACATCACATACAAGCTGGAGATCTGGGACATGACGGGTTCCACAGACTGACTTTTAAGCTACATCACTTAGTTGTCTCAGACAAAGCTTCACGTGCCTCAGTCTTCCTTGCCAGCAAGTACAGGAGTCTACCCTGAACCACGTGACTGTGCGCCTAGGCCCCTGAACGGGGCCTGAACCACACAGAGAATGGCCTACGTCACACAACTAGGATGCAGTTGATAAATTAGATATGGTAAAAGATAGATAATAACAATCAGTAATAAAGAGGACAGCTGCAATAAAGCTCCCAGCACCGCTACTCTTACACTTTAGGGCCATTGTTAAGTAAAATAAGTTACCCTGAACACAAGCCCTCACTGTGATACCACAATGGTGCTCCTGACAGGTAAGATGACAAGGGACCTAAGGCAGGTAGCACAGACTCATGTCCTCGGTGGGAAGCAGTGGGACAGTGCAAGACTTCATGGTGCTACCCAGACCAGAGCAGAGCAGAGACCTAAAACTTAGGTAGCATTTACATCTAGAATTTTTTTTTTCTGAGACAGGGTTTCTCTGTGGCTTTGGAGGCTGTCCTGGAACTAGCTCCTGTAGACCAGGCTGGTCACAGAGATCCGCCTGCCTTTGCTTTCCCAGTGCTGGGATTAAAAGTGTGTGCCACCACTGCCCGGCTTACATCTAGAATTTTTATTAGACGTTCCGGGAAATGAACCCATGGATAAAGACCTAAGGCACCACTGCAATTTACTTACTAAGGATAGGCAACGAGTCAGACACTGAGCTAAGACCTGTACTCAGTAACCAGTGTGGAGCATGGGGAGGAGAGCCTGGCCAGCATAGTGTACAGGGGTAGTTGCAGCTGATTGACAAGAGCTTGGGACAGGAAGATGAGACATGGAAGGCAATTTTGAATGAAGAGTGCCAGAAAGTACAGAGTGTAGCGATTCAGGCAGAAGGAGCAGACAGAAGGTGTCGAGCTGAAAATGGGCTTGAAGTTGACTGTACATGAGAACCCTCTGCCTGGGTTCAAACAGACCGATGTAGCACCCAGCACTATCTACCTGACACTAGATACTCACACAGGGTCATGATAAAGAGAGCTCTCATCCTAATGTCCACCCTGCTGAGCCAAACAACCCAACCAATCATTGCATACAAACAAAGTTTGTATAATTTAGCTATAATAACTTCAAAGTTACAGAGAAGCATTTACGTGCAAACAGCCTAGCAACCAGATGACCCCAAGTTCAATACTGTTTGGCTACCCATTAGCTGTGAAAGCTTGCACAAGGTTTAAACTCTAGAACCTATTTTTTATCTCACCATTTAGCCATTGCACAACACTTTAAAATTAGTCCGTACTAATTGTACAAAATAATGGGTTTGCAATGACATTTTCACTCATGCATATAATGCACTTTGATCAAGATTACCCCTTACTCCCACTCCCAGATTATTCATCTGGTAAGTAAAATAAGGCGTATCCTTTCTGGAGTTGTGAGTGTTTGGATAAAACATCAGCAAGTTGTGACTCCAGAGAAAGGAAATGAAGAACCCTTCAGACTTCAAGTTCTGAGTCTAGAGAAAAGAGGTCGCACTCTGATGCTATCTTTTACACCGTTTCCAGACTGGACCTTTTAATATCTGTGCAAGCGTGGATTAATGCACATCCAAATGTAAGGTACATTGACAATATGAAATAAGAGAGGAGAGAGGGAACTGGTTTGATTTTATTTTAGTACTCATTTTTGTAAACTCCTACAATTTCTGTGACTTTTATTTTATTTGTGCATGTATTTTCTAGCCACTGAAACCACAGTGAGTAACCTGGAAAGAATGTAGGACAGTGGCCATGAGGGGGGCAGAAAGAAGTGGAGAAGATACGCCAAGGAGTTTGGGGCTGAGGTTCTTGGGGAACTGGCAGAGACGAGCAATAGCACAGAGTTCAGAATCTGTTAGGGCACACGGTCAGAAGACGACAAATTAAACGGCCCACTGAACTCAGCAACTGCAGGGAGGAGGGGATGGAGTCAGAAGGAGAGCAAGCTGATGGAGGTCTGGGAGTAGAGCCAGTCCAGGCAGGTACAGGGTTATTTTTTAATTCTTTTTTAAATTCTATATTTAAATTAGAAACAAGCTTGTTTCACATGTCAGTCTCAGCTGCCTCTCCCTCCCCTCCTCCCCCACCCCCATCATCTCTCTCAGTTTCCCCCAATCCCCACTCTGTTCCCCAGGGAGGGTGAGGCCCTCCATGGGGGATCTCCAGAGTCTATCATTTCATTCAGGGCAGGGCCTAGGCCCTCCCCCAAGTGTCCAGGTTGAGAGAGCATCCCTCATTGTGGAATGGGCACCCAAAGTCCATTTGTGTGCCAGGGATAAATACTGATCTACTACCCAAAGCCCCATAGATTGCCTAGGTCTCCTCAATGACACCCACATTCAGAGGGTCTGGATCAGTCCCATGCTGGCCTCTCAGGCATCAGACTGGGGTCTAAGGTCTCCCCCTTGTTCAGGTCAGCTGTTTCTCTGGGTTTCACCAGCCCAGTGTTGACCCTTTGCTCATCACTCCGCCCTCTCTGTCACTGGATTCCAGTTCAGTTCAGTGTTTAGCTGTGGGTGTCTGCCTCTGCTTCTGCCTGTCACTGGATGGAGGTTCTAGGACGACATATAAGATAGTTGTCAAACTCATTATCAGGGAGGGTCTTTTAAGGTAGTCTCTTCACTATTGCTTAGTTTGCCAGTTGATGTCATCCTTGTACATCTCTGGACATCTCTCTAGTGCTAGATCTCCCCTCAAACCTAAAATGACTCCCTCTATCACGGTATCTCTCATCCTGCTCTCCTCTGTTCTTCCCCCAACTCAACCTTTCTGTTCCCCCATGTCTTCTTCTCCCCTCCTCTTCTCCCCCTCTCTTCTTCTTGGCTACCTCTCCACTTCCCCTCATGCTCCCGATTTTTATTTTGTACATATGAGTGTTTGCCTGCATGCGGGGATGTGTACCACCAGTGCCCACAGAGGCCAGGAGAGGGCATCAGATCGATCCCCTGGAACTGTAGTTACAGAGAGTTATTCGTTGCCATGTGGGTGCTGGGAATTGAACCTGGGTCTTCTGGAAGACTAGTCAGTGCTTTTAACCACCAAGCCATCTCTCCAGCCTCATTAGTTAGCATTCATAACTAGCCCTGCAGATAATGATTTTAAGAGGCTCTGCAGGGAACAGGTTAGGAAATCCACAAAGTTAAAGTAATGGGAGCCTGTTGTGTGGGGTTCTGGAAACTCAGTGTATTTACATGCTGCAAGAATGATCCCATAGAAGAGAGAAGGAAGATACTGGAAAGGAGCTACTGGATAGGGTGGGGAGCCTGTGAGGGTAGGCAAGGCCAGGCGAAGCCCAGACAGCTGCCGGAGGCTTCTGACTGGAGAAGCCGAAGGACCTCCTTTCTGGTAACTTCTTTGTTCTGTGGGAAATGCAGAATTAGAATCCTGTATGAGAAGGAATGTGTGTATGGGGGGGTGTGGAGGGGGGGCTCAGAACTCTTTATGGAGACTAGGCTTCAAAGACATTTTCAATCTCAGAATTTCTGAAAATCTACTATGTTCCTTTAAGTGGAGGTTTTGTACAGCATGGCTGTGTTTAGAGGTGACAGTCTGCTGGATGTGAAGAGACATCGATCGGGTGAGCTGAGAGCAGCAAGTTTTCCAAGTATGTGGAGGTGAGCGGAGGCCAGGAGAGGCACCACCAGGTGAGCAGCCCTCCCAGAGGAGAGCCTGGCTTCCCACTCAGCACTCCCACACCCTGTCCTCGCTACAACAGTCGCATCAACGCTTCATCCATTACTGTGTCCCCTGGTGTGTGTGGGGTGGTGTCAACAGATGCCCACAGCTGAGCTGAGCAGTGTGGACTCTCATGGAACACAACCTTTGGAATGGGGGTTTAAAGGACAGAGGAAACGCTATCTGGCTTATGCAAACTGGAAGACTGGCGTACAGCGAGGTGTCCCCTTGAGAACAAAGACTCTCAGATCTGAACAAATGGGCAGGTCACACTCCGACGTGCCTTGTTCCTTACGTAGACTGCGTGCACAGCCGCTCTGTTTTAGGGAACCCAGCAAAGAAAATTCAAGGAAATGAAAAGCACCCCTCCCCGCACTCCTATTCTTCTTAGATAACAAAGGACAGATAATTATCTAAAGTATTTCTCAACCTGAACAAAATGGAAAAGTGACCTTTTCTCTGTGTCTATTCGCTGCAGTGATGTCAGCAGCCAGGCAATGGGCAGGCTGAGGGAATGCTCAGAGGAGGTGGCCCTCGCTCCCCAGCCTGTCACAAATGCCATAAACACAGAACTACTTTAACAGGCAGCCAGACCTGGACTGCTCCCAGTCACCCCTAGGGAGTGATAAATGCTCTTGCTGGTAGACTTGCATAAACTGAGACGCAATGAATTTTTTTAAAGATACTCCCTGTGCTCAATAAACTTGAATGTTTCAAGCCTGAAGGATGGCTAGCCCAAGAAGGAAATTAATCAATCTGGCAAGAAAAACCAATCATTTGGAGTGCTGGTAGATTAACCTAAATGTAAAGGGTATTGAATTCAGTAATTTAAAAATCACATGCTTGCTAGTTGAAAATCCCCACTTCTAGCTTTATGCCATTTATAAAATGCACTTTGAGAGTAAGAGAGGGCAATGGGGATGTATGAATATGATCTGAGTATATTATATGCATGTTTGAAATGTCAATAAAAATCCATTATTTTACATAGTTAACATTACCACTAAGTAACAACACATAGTTAATACTGCTAAAACTATGAGAAGCACTGAATTGCTGCCTTGGCTACTTAGTGCTGGACCTGACCTGGGGCTCCGGTCTGGTCTGTTTCAAGACAAAAGCTACAGCACACTTCACAGTGTGATGCTCTGTTGTCTCCTGACAGCACAAAGGAAAGCCTGTCAACTCAGCGGACCATCCCAAGAACAAACGAACACTTCAGTTACTTTTGGGAAGTGAAGAACTGTTTGCTTATTTTACTTAAAAAGAAGCTAAAGCAGTCAAAGAGGACAGCGGAGCTTGGACCAGGGGAAGGAACCGGGGAGTCGTGTGAGACGTCACCCACTCTGTCCTCTCCCTGTCCACAGTCTGCTACAGAGGCCCCTTTCCTTCCCAGTGTCCTTGTTCTGCCTCACCACCACCAGCAGGGAGGACTTGGTCTTTAGTACCTGCCCGCATAGAGCTGGCCAATGCCATACTGCCGTTTGTGGGCAGTGCTGGCGGAAAACAGGACTGGAGCATTTGCTGGGGTAAAAGATGTATGACCAACACCTAAGTAAGAGTAGTAGTTTTTATATGGGAAAACAAACTTAAAAAATGTTTAACACGCGCGCACACACACACACACATACAGACACACAGATACACACACAGACACACACAGACACAGACACACACACACACACACACACGTACAGACGTACAGACGTATATGTGCCTATAGAGGCCAGAAGAGGGCATAATATCCTTGAGCTGGAATTACAAATAGCCCTGAGTCACCTGATATAGGTGTGAGGGAACTGAACTCAGGTTCCCAGGAAGAGTAGCAAGCACTGTTAACAGTTGCCCCATCTCTCCAGCCCCTGCGAATCTTAAAATCCAATGAACAGAACATAACTGAAATATTAATTCTGTAAACATAGCTAAGTCCAAAGCAGTTAGAGACTCACTTAAAAAAACAAAACTGACGTCTCAACATAAACCATTTTCAAACACCTTGAGAAACGCAATTGGTTGGAATTGACTGGAATTCTGACTTTCCTTATATGTACTATCTCAGACTTCAGTTACTGTAATGTCTGCACACTGGAAAGGGGCCAGCACTGCTGTGTGGTGTATTATTACTCATAATCACAATTCCATCCTATGTCCTCCAGTGCCTGGGACAATCCCCGTTAGTGCTGGTTGTCTCTGTATAATAATAGTGATAATAATTATAATAATAATAATTCACAAAGAGCTATTATTTTATTTAGAGACCTAGGGATGGGGAAGGACTGAAGAGATCGATGAGATCTGATGTTCTTGGCAGGGCAGATCTCCCTGTCCATATCACTAAAAAGTCTAGTTAAATGATTAAAAATACTGCCTTAGGTCTTAACAAACCAACTAGAAGGAAAATAGAGAAGCTTTATGTGTATATGTATATGTGTGTATGCACATGTGTATGTGTGTATGTTGTGTGTATGCATCTGTGTGTGCATGTTCTCTTGGTGTGGCCTTATGTGTATGTACTTGTACATAGAGGCTAGACGTTGATGTTGGGTGTCTGCTTGATTATTCTCTACCTTATATATTGAGGCAAGGTCTCTCAGTTGCACCCACACCCACCAATTTGCCTAGTCTGGCTAGGAACTTTGTCCCAGGGATCCTCTGTCTCTGACTACCGCATACTGGAATTACAGGCACCACTATACTGCCCAACTTTTATGTTGGTGACAGGATCTGAACTCTGGTCCTCATACTTACACATCAAGTACTTTACGAAATGAGCCATCTCCTGGTCTCCAAAGCTGCTTCCATAGGCTGCTTCCACAGAGTGATCACCTTGCACTGTGTGAACTTCACCCCCCCACCCCCAAGTGGCACTTGGAAGGAAATGCCGTGCAGCTGATGAGAAGGGGCTCTAGTGCTCACTCATTAGCCATTCACTTAATGACCATTTGTTGGGACTCTGTTACGTATCAGACACTGCACTAGGAGCTGGCTATTCAGAGAAGACCTTGGTATCTTTCCTTACTGTTGAGTAAAATGAGCCTGGTACCCTACCATCGCTGGCTTGTCTGAGAGGGTTGTATTGGTAATTTTTCTCCACGTGGAAACCCTTTTTCTAATTTCAGGTAGTGCTCGTGTGTGCTGGAAGAGGCTCTAGGGGCTGGCACTCCCACAGGATGCTTATAAGTAAAATTTTGGCAAATAAAACTCTAAAGAACCAATCATCTAAGAAATGAGAAATCTACACATACTTCTCTACTTCTTACTGCAGACAAAACTCAACATCTCCCTTCTGTAAGTCCACATACAGAGACCTCATCAAAATTTGATGAGTGTGTGTTACTAAGTATTATATTAAAACAAGATTTCACCTGTTTGGTTAGAATTACCCCCAAGATATTTTATGTTATTTGTGGCTATTGCAAAAGGTGATGTTTCTCTGATTTCTTTCTCAACATATATATTGTCTCTATATATAGTAGTTTGAGTCATTAAAAAAAGAAATTAAAGAAGATACCAGAAAATGAAAAGATCTCCCATGCTCTTGGATAGGTAGGATCAACATAGTAAAAACAGCAATCTCATCAAAAGCAATCTACAGATTCAAGCAATCCCTATAAAAATCCCAGCACAATTCTTCATAGTCCTTGAAAGGACAATTCTCAACTTTATATGGAAAAACAAAAGACCCAGGATAGCCAAAACAACCCTGTACAATAAAGGAACTTCAGGAGGTATCACCATACCTGACTTCAAGCTCTACTATAGAGCTATAGTAATGAAAACAGCTTGGTATTGGCACAAAAACAGACAGGTAGACTAATGGAATCGAATTGAAGACCCTGATATTAACCCACATACCTATGAATACCTGACCTTTGACAAAGAAGCTAAAATTATACAATGGAAAAAATAAAGCCTCTTTAACAAATGGTGCTGTCACAACTGGATGCTGGCATGTAGAAGACTGCAGATAGATCCGTATCTATCACCATGCACAAAACTTAAGTCCAAATGGATCAAAGATTATCAACATAAATCCAGCCACACTGAACCTCTAAGAAGAGAAAGTGGTACAGGAGACTGCTTCCTGAACATAACACCAGTAACACAGACACTGAGATCGACAATTAATTAATATATGGAACCTCCTGAAACTGCGAAGCTTCTGTAAGGCAAAAGACACAGTCAACAAGACAAAACGACAGTCCACAGAATGGGAAAAGTTCTTCACCAACCCCACATATGACAGAGGGCTGATCTTCAAAATTTACAAAGAACTCAAGAAGCTGTCCCCAAAACACCAAATAATTCAATTGAAAAGTGGGGTATGGAACTAAATAGAGAATTCTCAATAGAGGAGGCTAAAATGGCTGATAGACACTTAAGAAAGTGCTCAACATCTTTAGTCATCAGGGAAATGCAAATCAAAACAACTCTGAGATACCATCTTACTCCTGTCAGAATGGCTAAAATCAAAAACACCAATAACAGTTTATGCTGGAGAGGATGTGGAGAAAGGGGAACACTCCTCCACTGCTGGTGGGAGTACTAACTTGTACAGCCACTATGGAAATCAGTGTGGAGATTCCTCAGGAAAATGGGAATGAGTCTACCACAAGATCCAGCAATTCCACTCTTAGGCATATACCCAATGGACTTTGGGAGCCCATTTCACATGAAGGGATGCTCTCTCAACCTGGACACATGGGGGAGGGCCTAGGCGCTGCTCTAAAGGATATGACAGACTTTAGGGATCTCCATGGAAGGCCTCACCCTCCCTGGGGAGCAGAAGGGGGATGGGGCGGAAGGTTGGGGGGGGTTGTTAGGAGGCAGGGAAAGAGGGGAGGGAGAGGGACATGGGATTGACATGTGAAGCAAGCTTCTTTCTAATTTAAATTTTTTTAAAAGTGAAAAAACAAAACAAAAATAAAAAACAAGATTTCCCTAATTAATTGAGGTATAAGTCTTGGGAGAATCCTTGGAAGGTCTTGAAGAGATTTTCCTCTAATCTGCATGGGAAACTGAAGCATGTTGCACCTAAGAAGACACAGAATGAAGGTAGCAGCTTGCCTGCTTGTTGTGTGCATTTTTCTAGAATCGACGATGTATATTTTGTCCAGTTCTAACAGATGTATTGTTGGTATTCAAAAATACTTTCTAACGTGGTTAAAAGCATAGACATTGCAACTTGTTTGCCTGGATTTAAACCCTAGCTCTTGATCCATAACTAGGAAAGGAACCACATCTACAAGAATGATGAAGGCACAGGTCTCACAGGGTCACTAGGGACTAAAGGAAATTACACGGAATCGCTTGGTCACACCAAGAGCTGTCTGGACTATCCATTATTATCCTATAATTTCTGTGAGTGGAAAGTATGGCATAGTGTAGATCATTCTTTTTTTTTAACTAGCAATATATTAGCTATGTATCATGGTAATATTAGCACTGGAGAAAAATAAGTCAGGATTTTAATCAAGAATGTTTTGTGAAATTTGGGTTGTATAAAATTCCTTAGTCTGTCAAGATCTTTTAACTCCCGGGACCTCACCTGGGGAGTTCAGTGTTGCTGTGGAGACTATAAACACCAGGCTGATGCCTCCTCACTTGGGCAGTCAGGCTGGGACCACAGAGGGTCACTTTTGTGACTCTGCAGCTGGGATTAGAGCTCCCTTGCTTTAGAGCTCCTGACAATACGTTTGCTCCAAAGGGGATTAAAGACATTTCCCACAGGGAGCAGTCCACATGACCGCTCTAAGCAAGACTTGAGAGAAAAACGATACCTTAAGGAAAGGAGAAGAATAAGTTCGGATGCTGAGGAAAAGTCTGGTTTTTTTGTCTACTAATTCCAAATATAAGTTTGCACTTGAATCTCTTCCACTTGTTTAAAAATATTTTAAGTCAGATGCAAACTTTCTGTTTATTTCTTGGCATGCATCTAAAAGAAAGAAAACATGTTCCCCAAAATGTAGAGAAGGGAATGTGTACTGTTT